GGTGCCCAGGTCAGACCAGCGAGGCGCGGAGAAGAACAGCTCCTGGGCCTGTGCGCTCCGAGGGCAGACCGCCCCTCAGCCTTCAGTGCAGACAGACAGTAAGAGACGCTGACCAGACTGCCTCAGGCATTGACCCACAGCATATCCAGCAAGGGAAGGTAGGCAGCACGTTCTGGTCCCTGAGAGCAAATGTCTGTGTTTGTCAAATCTGTCTTGGACTCCTCCTCAAGGAGTTTACTGACCTCCTGCTGATGGGGTTGAGGCAACATGAGTTCACCTATTTCAGCCCCTGACGTGTAGTGAAATGTAATTCAATGTGTCCATTCGTTTTACTAGAGGGCACTCCAATCATGAAGAAAATCATATTTTAAATGTCTTAGTTAATGTAACTATTTATCAAATTCTCATATTTATTTTCGAAAGAGAGAGAGGGGATGATAGAATATGGAGGAAGCACTTTAAAGATATTCTTATAAATAATTAAGCAACAATACAGCTCTAGTCAGTAGATTTAACTGTTTGCATTTCTGCTACCCTGTTTCAGGACTGTGGTTTTGTAAATGGGAGAAAACGCAGTAATAGATGACATGCTTTGCTGGAGGACAAATCGGAGGCAAACTTGAGAAGCAGGTTGGCGTGTCGTCACGTTTTTGTGACGTGTGTCAGTGCAAAATCACAGGATGTTCATGATTATGTCATTTCAGGCATAGCTGTTAAGTGCTTTTTTGATGGTGTATCTTATGACCTCTATGGAGGTGTGATCAGTGACGATTCCTCATAGGTCCAAACAGAACGTTTCTTTTGGTGGTGTATAGTTAAGAGAAAGCCAGGAGCACAGAAGGCGTTCTGGGAGGTTCAGGCTCAGAGACCTCTTTGTTGTCTTAGATCTGCAAAAGCAACAGACGCCTAGCTTGTTCCCACTTGAGAAGGGCTAGTTCCATGAAATCAGAAATCCAAAAATTCGTGAGTGGTCATGAATTTTTTTATTTAGATTTTGCCTGGATTCTGCAAATCTTAAACACTGTTTAAGACGTTTTATTATGATTTTTCCATCACCATTCTTAAATGTCTATACAAGACCAATTTTTCCAGCCAGATAACAACATGTACTACCCAAAATTAGTTTCTCTTGATGTTACTTGAATCCCAAGGCAAACGCAAGATCGCAGATAAGGAAGGGAATCAAATATTTTTGTCTCGAATACATCCGTGAGGCAGCGAGTATAGAGCCAAGATGATTTGCTCATCATTTGCTTTCTCAGAGTGTTTTCACTAACAGCACCTTCGGTGTGGAAGAGAGAAAAAACACCTAAAGCAAAGGTTTTGTTTAATGCCACTTTGCCTCCCTAAAATAGACTTGGTGCTATTGTCCATGGAAAGTGCCAGGAAGCAGGAGGACGTCCGGCTGGGTTCTTCCCCGTGGCCACTCGAGGACCTAGTGCTTAGAACCTGTGCCTCAGAGAGGGTTTCCTTGGAAACCCAGTCAATCGCTTCTGCCATTTCAACACCCAAGCTGTGTAGCACGTGCTACTGTCTGATTTTATCCACAGGGGATTTTGATTATCCCACATGGGCCTGCCTTCATGGAAAAGATGTGCTCTTAGATGGGTAAATCGATTTTACATGCCCCATTATCAAGGGTCCTGGAGCTGGCTCCATCTGAGAAGCAAAGACCCCTTTCGTTAGATAAATAATCACTTTTCATTCACCAACTTCAGAAAATTGTGTTTTTGAATGTTGAGATTTCTTTCTTAAGGCTAGGAAATTTGTGTGTAAATCTAAGAGTTTAAAAAAGCCTTCAAGTCTTAAACAGTAACATAAAAATGAATCCTAGAGCTGTTGGAAGAAAGAATAGTTGAGAAACCATCCTGGGCTGCCTTCGGTGGGCCAGAAGCACCACCTAAAGATAAATAAGCCGATTACCACCCTCGAAAAGACCAGGAGCTGCTGATTTCAGGGGGAAGCGAACAAGGAAATGCAGTGGGTACCTCCGCGCACACATTCTCCCCCTGTGCGGAGCAGGAGAACTGAGGATTCGAACTGCAGTTGGGCCTGGGCACTTCCTTCAGCATCAACTGAGTGCAAGGAGGAGAGAAGGGAAGTAAACCTCCCCAAAACAAGCACAGGGCAAGCCCTTTGAGGATCTCACCTTGTTTTCATCCTCATCACGTAGATGAGCAGGGGGCCTTAGCCCCAGAGGAAGGGGATGAATCTCAGCAGGATTAACCGCGTCCCCAGATTCACGCAGCCAGCAAGGGGCAGACCTGGGATTCGACCCCATCTGCCTGACGTGAAACCCTGAAAATAAAAACACACCTTGTAAGAAAGAAAGATCTCTTTCTGGGAATGTTTTCTTCTTTCCCAACACAGTGAAATCTCCGAAAATGAGCCAAGTCAGTGTTTTGTTTGTTTGTTTTCATGGTGATAAAGGACATTTTAAACACCTTTTTTTTTTATCATATGATACATTTGTAAACGGCTTAAACATACAAAAACTACTCCTAAAATCTTTCTCTCTCTCTTTTTTTTATAATTAGTAAGATCTGATTTTCATTTGCTTTACTGTGGTTATAATGCCTCACTTGAAATTTGAACAGAATATGCCAACCTCCTCCTGCCCCCACCAAAAAAAGACATATGAAAAAATTTCTACTCATGTTAAAATGAATAAATTTTAAATAAATTTGCACTAAGTGCTTAAATTAGGAAAAGTTTAAGGATTTTTTTTTTGAGTAAAAAGCAAGGCCAACTATATCTTATTGGCTGGTAGGGAACATTCCTGTATCTTGATACATTTTCAAACAGAAACTTGCATGAAGATTAGCTTCTTACATAGAATGATTTGTATCACTTTCAAGTTTTCTCCCTCTGGGAACATTCTGGGATTGGGGTCTATCCACATAAGGTGTCGTTTGGGAAGTCAGCTATTTACGTTCAGTCATTTAAGTCATTATTTGGAAAATAATTACTTAGCAATCGACAGAATAGTCTTGTGATCAAACTTTAAGTGTACATAACTGCTGTTACCTTAACAAAAATCAACTTAATAATCCAATTCGGGCTTGTTATTCTTGATAGATAGATGATAGATAGATAGACAGATAGATAGATGATAGGTAGGTAGGTAGGTAGGTAGATAGATAGATGATAGATAGATTGGTAGATAGATAGATAGATAGATAGATAGATAGACAGATAGATAGATGATAGGTAGGTAGGTAGGTAGATAGATAGATGATAGACAGATAGATGATAGGTAGGTAGGTAGATAGATGATAGATAGGTAGGTAGACAGATAGATAGATGATAGGTAGGTAGGTAGGTAGATAGATGATAGATTGGTAGATAGATAGATAGGTAGATAGATGATAGAAAATTGATAGATATTGTTTTAAACATCCCATTGCTCTGCCTCAAACTCCTATTTTAAAAACCCTTATTCTCTTAGGCACAGGAAGGATTTCTCTTCTCCCTTCTCATGCACTGTCTAATTCTCCCACAGCACAGGCTATAAATTAAAGTTTACCCTTTAAGATGATAAGACAAATATCAATTTTTATACCCTGAGAGCTAGAATTATGTTCCCTTTCTCAAAAGTAAAGGAGAATTAGACAATTTCTAAATACCGAAAATTGTTTACACATCCAAGTGTCCAAATACGGCATTCACACACTTGAACTTCCTCTAGAGTCATGTCTTTCCATTTCACTCCCTGGCTCTCGTCTGACCTTGAGCCAGTCCATCTCTAAGCAAGTCATTTGCTGGCCTGGTCTCAGCATCTGACATCCAGGGTGACTTTCTAAGTGGAAAACAAATTGAAATCTCTTAGAAGCAGTATCCATTTATTACATGTTTAAAATTTGTGACTTTTGTCCTTACCAGGAACACAGGTGCTCATTGAGCAGAGTGGGCACAGGCGTGATCTGTGCATTGCTCCTAGGCGGTGATATCACTTACTGCATCAATTGATCCTTGTCATTGTTTGAGAGTTGCAAATTTAATGGAAAGAAAGAAGAATTTTTCCTAACTTTTGTTCTTAATATTGACATTCCTGCTAGTACAACTGCAACTGAAGTAACTAAGTGAAGCTGTCTTTGCAGGACACCTGATTATTCTTGAGATGGCATATTTAAGAAGTCATGTGGAGGGCAATAATTACAAAACTCTTTTTTAAAAACGTTGTCTCCATTGGAGCAATGGCAGTGTGGTGGTTAAGCACCTAGATGAAGCTGCCTGGACAGGTTTAAGCAGAGGCAGCGCAGGTGCCGTGAACTAACCTGAGCATCTCAGCTGACTGGACCTGGTGGGTCAGGAGAGCTGTGCTCTACTCAAGTCAGTTAGTCACCAGGATTTTAAGGGACATCAGAGCCACCTGAGAGCTCAGCGGTGGTCTGGAGGATTGTTGCCCAGCTTCCCGCAGTTCAGGAGCAGGTGGCGGCTGCATCGGGATCGGGGGTTGACCGGTTGCCAGGCTGTGAGGAGTGAGTTGCACGGGAGCCCATTGTAGTGCTGGTGTTTGGAGTTTAGACGAAGGCTCCTCTCTCAGACCGCTGTGTGTATCTCTCCATGTGAAAATCTCGCGTCCTCTATGGACAGTGTAGCCACAAGCCTTGCTGTACCTGGGCTCCACGCGACTAGAGGGAACAAAAAGGGAAAGACACAGGAGACATTTGGGGGCAACAGAGACTCTGGAGTAAACACCTAGGGACCAAGGAAGCTCCAGAGACTGTTGAATCCTAGGCAGTTCCTCAAGTTCACAATCCTTCTGGAAAGTGTCCTTGTGCTTGGAAGGAAGAAGGCAGTCAAGGTGGTGTCTGGTGGTGGTGATTCACGGGCGCTCCCACGCACTCCGCTAGGGAGCTTCCCGCTCCATGTCGCCTCTTTCACGTGGGAGGTTAAGCATTAAAGAGAGTTTGCTTTCTGGATAAATAAGAAAGTTAATTGTTTAGGGAATTTTGTTTCTTTCAAGTGAATCACCCAGTTTGCATTTCTGATTGTAGGTGCCCCACCCCTGGCTGCGATGGCTCTGGGCACATTACTGGCAACTACGCTTCTCATCGAAGGTACGTGAAGGTGCTTGCTCTTCTCTTCATTCTTTCTTGTTTACCGTCCGTCCTCCACGGGAATATTGCAAAGGGCACGCTTCGACTCCAATGGTAAATTAAGGTCTAGAGACTCATAGACCACAAAGCGCACTGTCCTCATGGGATGTTACTTAGAAAGCTCCAGAACCACAGGCTCCTCTTTGCTACCTCATTTGTCATGCAACTGGCTCCATCTGCAAGAAACACTGGTAAAGTCACCCGGTAGCACGTCTTTCTAAATTGAAAGAGTACAGGGAAAAGAACCCTCACTGGTATACGACAGGACCCCTGAGAACAGTCATGGGGAGGCAAGCATTCCAACACCACTGAGAGTTGACCTGTTACTTCTTGAGAGTTGAGCCACAGAGCTGTGCGGTTATTATAAGCAGAGGTCAGCAGAGCTGAACACACAGACATGCTTCCCTTACAAACTCGAGGCACTGTCACTCCCAAAGAGAAGGAAGTGTCTAAAATACAGCATGGAGATTCAGTCATGTGAGATAACAAAAATTCAGTAAATATTCTACGAACGCCTATTTTATGCCAGGCCCTCCCTGTGTCAGAAGTGGATTGAAAGAACCTTATGGTGTGATGTCTACAGAAAGGTGGATCCAGACCCAGTGGACAGGAGCAAGACTTTCTTGCCATGTTCAGTTAGGATCAACAAGCCAGTGCCAAGGCGAGGACCAGAGCGTGTCTGTGTGAAGATCCACTGGAGGCGGCGTCTCCAACGACGGAAAGCAGTGCTGCATCTGGCAACTAAGCTGCGTTCTCACAAAGTGGGCAGTCCGAAAGTAGAGGAGCCCTTCTGCTTAGATGCATCCCCCACAAAAAAAGAGAGAGAGAGAGAATTGGGGCAGTTAGAGCGAGTGTCAGTATCAACAGCCAGCCCACCGCCCCCAGAGGAAGGGGGTCTGCACAGATCCAGCAGAGTGGATCGTTCGGATCTACATCACATGGCCAGCCAAGTGACAGACCCCAGTGGTCAGAGCAGGGGACGCTCACAGCTGGCGGGCATGGTTTGGGTTGGGGACAGAGCTCACACGGGGGTCGTTTCCTCACTAAGATCCCACTCCAAGTCACGTGTTTCTGCGTTCACTTTCTGACCGTTTGGGGGCACCGTTCAAACAGCACGTGTCTGAAAAGCACCAATTATGAATGCCACAAGGACAACCAAATGAAGTGATTTGTGGGAGGATTCTTCATACTCGCTTGATGAAAAGGTTTCATCCTTTAGACCAGGGCTGTCTCCTGGGCACTGTGGACATTCGGGGCTGGATCGTCCTTTGCTGTGGGGCTACCCTGTGCACTGCAGGGTGTGGAGCAGCATCCCTGGCTGCACCCATTGGTGCCAGTAACACCACCGCCCCATTTACGACAACCACAGAGATCTCCAGACTTCACCAAACGTTCACGGGGCCACTGCCCCAGACCACAAGGTCAGGAGAAGACTTGTGATGGTCATCTGGTTTTACCAGGCATTCCAGAGCCAGCCAGGATACTCTGAACGTAGAACAAGGGCAACCACCTCCAGAAAGAATTGTCAGAGTAGGACCACTGCGTTAGAGTAAATAAAATAAAATAAAAAACTCCAGGGGCTGGCCCTATGGCCTAGTGGTTGGCACATTCCACTTTGGCGGCCTGGGTTCGGTTCCCAGGCACAGATCTACCCTACTCATCAGTGGCCATGCTGTGGCAGTGACCCACATACAAAATAGAGGAAGATTGGCACAGATGTTAGCTCAGGGTGAATCTCGCTCAGCAAAAAAAAATAAAAACTCTAGTTAAATATAAAAGGTCAAGCACATCCTACTCTACTCTTCATTTTCATTTATCTTGGAAAATAAATGTCTTAGTCCTACATGACCAGAACTTCCAGCATTTAATAATGTCTGCACAATTAAAGGGAATATTTACTAGTCATTTCATGTGCAAATGGCTATTTTTCTACAGATGTTTTTTTGGTTTGGCATCATGTAAATTTATTCGTGATTAGTTTAAACGTTTTTATTTAACTTGTATCTTAGAATGGTGGATATTAATATAGCATAAACCTGTGAGTGAAATATAATTTAAGTTTAGATTTAAGCTATGATCTATGCCTGGAGTAAATAATACAGGGTTAATGTATAGAGTTGGAAAGTGAATTTGATTTTGTTTTCAGCAAATTTGAGTACTACATACAGCTCTATGGGGGCTTAGCATATTAAAAGTAGAGTACATTGTAATATTACTTATCCTAGTAATAACTTCCCTTATGTAAAAGCGTTAATGAGGTTGAACACTTTGTTAAGCAAAAGTCTTACACTCAGTTAACAGTTCTTGTGTAAATTGGCCACTAGCAAAAGACAGAAGCAAACTTCCCCAGTCTGTTGATTCTTGATGGTCATATGTACAGGTAGGGAAACTTCTTTCAGACTTAATCTTCTGTTGTCCATTTCCCAGGAACATGAGACGATGTTACTTATATGGAAACTCTAGAGAAAACTTTACTTAGAGGGTGTTTCTTCAGACTTCTTTTTAAATTGTACCACAATTCAAGTCAGTTATATGAGTTTGTGGTGTCTTCATGCCCCTCCGTGGGCTCCAGTGAGAAGAGAAGTCAGAACAAGGACCCTCAACGCGTTAAGGGCCACAGACCTGCCTTGAGCAGCTGTGACCATCTGTGAATCTTACCCTCCCTCTCAGGCCACATGTGCACATCCATATTTTGTCTCGGTTACAGGATGTTCACTGCTCCCTAATTTAGCTGCCGCTCCCAGAACCGGCTTTCTCCTGGCACAACCCTGGGAACTTAAGAAAGTGTGCTTTCCTCTGCCGTCTGCAGAGCCACACTGAGTGTTAGGCAGTTTCCTTTCTTTATGCACCAGAGGAAACTGAGACTCTGAGAGGTTACATAGCGAGATGAAACTCAAGTTCATGCTGTCTGCCTCCAATGTCACCCTTTCTTGTGGACTCCATGCCCAAAATGGCCCTTGAAGTTCATGCAGTCAGCTCCTTGTGGGAAAGTAGGAGCCACCCAACCCACCCGAGGTGGGATCTGGGTTGTGCTGGCTTTTGTTTTGGTTTTAACGGTGGTGTGGTCTTTCAGTTTCTACATCATCTCTGAAACTTTCCTAAATTCACTTTAGTCAATAATTTTTGACTGAATATGATTCTATCAAAAAAACTCATCATCAAATGTCTTGCTCTCCCCTCTGTCCTCAGTGAAGACAGAGACCTTGTTTACCAGCCCATATAAAGGTGTTCATAAAGTTCACAGTCCTTGCCAGACTGTATCTGGGTCTCCTGGTCTTCAAAGAGCGAAAATCCATGTCTGTAGCTTTCCCTCAAAGATCCTATTTCCAGGCACCTTTATACTTTTCCCTGACCCTTCTCCAGGCTGGCTTTTTCCTGCAATTGTCAGACGTGCTGCTACAGTGACCTCTCGGCGTGGTCTGACCACACAGGATTGCCAGGAGCCCCTGGTTTTCTCTGATTAGATCATCCCACCTATAAACAGCCAGAGACACACAGGCCTGGAGTTGTTGCTCTAGCGTAGAAGTAACATCTGCAGTTTTCACAAATGATTATGCTACATGAATCTGACTCCCACTGGACACCCTCCCAGTGTTACAGAGCAGCTACAGCCCTAGGGTTCCGGAGCGTTCTCTAATAACAAAGAACAGTATCTATTGAGCACTTACTGTGGACCCAGAGCGTTACTGAACATTTTACATATACAATCTCAATATCCTATGAGAATATGACTTTTCTCCTAATTGCATGTGAAGAAACAGGGCACGAGATCCTACGTGATCCACACTTCAAGTCCTGTTTCTCCTGGGGCGTCTTCTCTTGCTCTTTTATAATAATGGGCAAAATGTGAGCCTCCAGGACGACAGGCAAAGGGTCTGACAGTATCTCTATCTGCTCCTCAGTTCCAATGTGCTTTGAGAAGTCAAAACAAGGACCTCAAAGGCCTTCCTGCTGAGAAGCGGACAAGTCCCCAGGTACTAAGGGAGGCAATGAAAAATAGGCCTGAGGAAGCTCAGACACCAACAAGGAGTGAGAAAGTCCCCCTTCCAGGGTCTTGGGTCCTAGTCACAAAATCAGGACAGGTGACTGCTCACCAGGTGACTCCTAGGACCTACTCGGCATGGCTCTGGCTTATCCCCAGGCACCAGCTCTCACACCCACTGCAGATCTCTTCAGCCAGAGGGTCAGTGCCGGGCAGTTTCTCCTTCGACTTTAAGCTTCAGCTGCGGTGACCATCCCAGCACCATTTCAGGTCTGGAGGCCACAAGGCACACTTCCCTCGACCACAGCCCATGCTAAGAGCCCAACATCTCAACTTTCTGTGAATGCTCAGCTGTCTGAGAGCTGTCCACGTTTTCCACCCCCGGGCCTTTTCCCCCACCCAGAGAAGGCAAGAATTCTAAAAGCCTTAATGATGTCTCCAAAATTTTTAAATTTTCATATAAAGATGCAGATACATAATGAGCCCCTGCATCAATGATACCCAATTGTGGAAAGTACAATTTCTGTCTAGGAAACTGTTAATCATTTAGAACATAATCGCAAATGTCAGCCCAGAATTCTAGAAACCTAGTAAATGCAGTTAATATTTATTGACCACATAATATGTGCTAGGAGCTAAAGATACAGATAGAGATACAGATGCAGATATAGTTATTAAAGCATAAAGATGATAAAGAAGGTAGGTCTTAATTCTGACCAGGGAGCGTGGGTCAGAGAAAGCCAGAGAGAGGCTGTGACCTCTGAGCTGCGTGTGGGTGGCTGGGTAAGAGTCGCTAGGAGGTCATGAGGAAGAAGGGTTTTCTAAGTGGAGGAACAGCATTAGAACAAGCCTTGTAGCAGCAGCAGCAACAACTAAAATCAATAGTTCAGTTTGGTTGGAGTTTCGGGTGTAAGCATATGGGAGTGGCTATAGATGAAACTTGTGTTGGGAGTCCTGTTATATCCATATGGGGAATTAAGAGAAACTTAATTCTCTAGGATCCAGGAAGTCACCCAAATAACAGAGAGGCAGGGCTGGCTTTCAGCACAGAGAACGCACTGTTGAGAGATGAAAGGCTTCTGAGAGTGCACTTTCAGGTTAACAGCAACATCCCCAGAAGATTGGGAGCAGCTGGATGGAAGCAGCCCTCACGCAGGGCCCATGTGAGGACAGGCTCGTCGGCAACGAAGCGGGAGGGAAGGACGGGCTGAATGTGAGGACAGAAAGGCCAAGGGCGTGCCCGAGATTCCGGTGGACAGATGGGTGACTGGTGATACCCTTATCTGAGATCAAGAAGCCCCCAGACAGCATGCGTTAATTTCCGTTTAAACGCATTAACTTTGAGATTCAGGTCAGCAGAGGAGGCAGGGCTAGAGGAGAGATGAGGGTGTGGAGTGTCCGGTGCTATTCGACTCACTGGAAGTTCAGTGGAGTGGAAAGAGAATCACACTTTTAGCAACGACAGGAGGGTCCAAACACTAAGATACTCACTCCCACCGGGAGCCCTGAGCAGACGCCCCGGGGAGGAATCGCTCCCCCCACCTCTGAGCACACGTCACCGTCTGAGGTTCTGCAGAGTGAATTTCTATGTCACTCAAACCAGAAGGAGAACACAGGCTGAGTGACTTTGCTGGATTCACATTTGGACCCTAAAGAAGGAATCACAAATAGAGACGAATGTTGGAAGGAGAGGATCTAAAATTACTGACTACTGTCCCTGCGGGCACCTTGTAGATCAAGCCAACGCCGTGGCTTCATAAAGACCGTGCATTACAGTCTCCACCCTGTCACACAGATGAGGCATCTGAGGCTCTCCACAGCTGACAAGGGGCAGAAGGGACGTTTCAATGTGCTGTTGATACCACATCTCGTGAGCTTCTCTCACCCAGGGCCACCCTGGGGAAAGGCCGCCAGATCACAGTTCTGTAGAGAAGCTCCATGCTGGCATCGGTAGTGGACAGCGGGTTTTCTTGCCCATGGTTTAAGCAGGAAACAAGAGTTTTAAGATGTTGATCAATGCTTAGTTCCATTTTTCCTGGGGTCCCCATGCTCAGCTGGTGGTGGGGACAGTTCTCTTGTTTCCATCAAGCGTGGAGATCACAAGAAGTAAGTGGGATGAAGCCACAGGCCCAAGCACTCAAATGCTGCCAGTGAGAACAGACCCCATGGTCCTGGGCTGCGGAGACATCAGTGCTGACAGGAAAGCCGGGCCACCACTGCACATGGGCTGGGATAGTGCCGCGTGCTGGCAACAGGGGCCCCAGGTAGAAGAGCAGGGCGAGGACCCAGGACGTGGGGGGGCCTTGTCAAGAGCAGCACGCCTGCTGGATGTACACGGGCTTCTCACGGGGCGGTGGGAACAGCACCCCACACGCACACACAGAGAGGACGGTGCCTCTTCTAACCCACACACCAGCTTTCCAGAACACTGGCAAAGCCGCCTGTGGAATTCCTAGCCCTACAGGAGGCATTCCAGGATTCTAGCCCAGCCCCTGTGTCAAGGTCAAGGTCTCCAGGTCAGTTACTGTCAGAGTCAGGTCTAGACCTAGGTTTGCTGTTGTTATTTGTTTTGTTTTGGTTTGTTCTCACTTATTTTCATCCCAGCCCAGGTCTCATGAGGCCCCAGAGCTGCCCCTCACTCCCAAGTCCAGGGGGCGATGAGAGGGAGAAGGTGGAGAGCAGAGCAGAGGCGAGCCGGGCTTCCCGGATGGAGTCCTGGACTTTGGCTTCTCTCCCCGACAACTGAGTTCTTTGTCCCGGGAGAGGGAGGAACAGACAGGGTCCTGGGGCAGGATGTGTAATTCCCACCATTCCTCCTTCGTCCATTCACTTACTAATTCACTCAGCACATATTTAGCTGTCACCTACTCTGTGCGAGGCCCTGGACTGGGAACTAGGGAAAGAAAGGTAGACACACACACGGCGTACACACTCCTGGAACCAACAACTTAGAGGATCGTGTGGATCGGTGAAGGGACGATCACCAGCACACCAGGGCACCGGAGAACTCGCAGAACTGGTCATCAGAACGGCCTGCAGGGCAAAGAAGCTTCTGGAAGGATGCCCACCTGAGCTGAGGTCAAGCCCATGGGAACAGGCGAGCAGACAGAGCACGATGTCAGCAGCGCTAGGGTCCCAGGGCGGGACTGGGAGCAGGCAGAAGCTGCGGAGGCCAGTGTGCCGGACACAGGGAGCAGGTCATGGACGGACACTGGAGGCAGGCCTGGCAGCGGGCAGCCTTGTATGCAGACGAAGGACAGGGCCTGACAGAGCACCCGGGTAAACAGTAGAAGTGTCAGCTCAGGCAGAGCAGGCGGCCGGTGAAAGTAAGGAATTTCCAGACCCGGGAATCACAGAAGCCAAGACGAGACACTGGCTCTGGAAGGAACCGTCTCAGGGGCTGCAGATGGTCATGCTATACAGGCTAAGAGTGTCCGCTGGCTTCGATGTCCCGGGCACCCTGGCAAGAGCAGTGTTCATGGAAGAGGGACCAGGAGCCAGACAGCAGGGGGTGCGGCGGGCTGAGGAGTCGGGGGAAAGTGCAGACTCTGCTTTCCAATTTTTACCATAAAAGGGAGGAGAGACGTGAAGGTGGCCAGAGGGAGCGGATCGAGACTGCTGTGTCTTCTCTGTTTTCAAAGGGAGACAGGCCACAAGAGCAGGGCTGGGACATGTGACAGTGCAGAGGGAGGGCCCGCGGGGCTGGGGGGCCGGCTGGGGGCCCACACTCGTCAGCCCCTCGCTGAGGCCCTGGGACGCCTCGAGACCCCTGCACCCACCCTCTGCCTGTGGGGTGCTGCTTCCCCCCAGAGGGGCCAGGCCGCTGCACCAACTTGGGAAAACGCTAAGGAAAGAGGGCAGTGATAGGGTGACGGGGAACAGCCCTCCCTCCAGGAGTCAGGCCCTCCGCCTGAGAATCAGCGTGCTTAGAAAGAAGCCAGAACTGAGAGAAAGACATACCCACGAGCTCAGGAAGACGAGGGACAGCCGCCACATCCCGCCTGGGACACAGCTGGGCATCCCGTCGGGCTCCACTTCCACGCATCCCGGGGCATCCCGGGAAATGGTCTGGCACCTGGTTCTCACCTAATTTCTGGTTCTTCAATTCTTAGCAAAGAATCCCATTTATTCTACATATCCTCATATATATATATTCAATAGCCTAACAGCCTGTGGTTAGCCTATTGTTGAATCGAAAAATACACATATATATGTTCTGGCTGGAAAATTTCCTTTAGATAAATGCGAGCCTCTATTTCCAAAAATTTCAAAGTTAAATAAAATAGGCAAGTTCAACTTCTGCTGTACCTTCTGCAGATACCCCCAAAGCCTGTGCTTCAGGTAAACAGGAACAGATCACCAGCGTATCGCTGCCTCCCATCGTGGAAGGGCTTGGGAGCTGGCTGTCGGGAAGCAGCCCCAGGAAGGAGGTCCAGGGAGGTGCATGTTCTCCCTCTCAGTGCCCCCTTTTCTGTGTGCTCGTCCATCCTCCCTCTCTCTCAACAAGACATTCCCCAGTTCGTTCCTGGCAACTCCTGCCTGCCTCCATTTCTACGGGCTGACTAGTTCCCCTGGCCCGCCCAGCCTTGGTGTCCTTGCAGGGGCTGAGGGTGCCTATGGGCTGAGAGCACACAATGGGGGACCCTCCTCTGGATGTTGTTTTCATGCCGAGAAGCACCAGCTTCTGGAAAGAATGGAGTCCAGCCCCATCCCTGGTGAAGGAAGTTTGCAGAACCAACAGTGCAGGCGTTTCTGAAATCCAGTTCTTCTTCAGCCTTTCAGGGTGCCCGAGAGCAAAGAAAAGTGGCATCCGAATAGCACAGAGCAAAGAGGACAAGGAAGACCAGGAGCCCATCAGGTACGTGGGGCACAGGAAGCAGGGCAGGGCAGCAGGTGGGGTGGGGCACACGCTCAGGGGACTCCAGGGAGCCGCCGTGCGGAGGAGCCACAGGTCTGTGTGGGCTTTAGGTGTCAGTCAACTGCAAGGTCAGACCCTTTAAACCAAAAGCCAGAGCACACCTGCTAGTGGGCCAGAAGCATCCTCTAGACTACAGGTGATGGAATGAGCGAATGTCCATCCATCTGACGTTCTGAGTAACCAAACACAGGACATTTCCCTCGACCCCAGGGTGGAAAAAGCAGTTAATTTACTGGGAAAGGCAGATACATGAGAGTATATGAAGGTATTAACCGTAACACCGAAAGTGAACATTTTGCTGACATTCTGGCTTGTGAAAATCCTTTAACTATACTCTGCCTTCCTCCAAGGCAGGACTGAGACCGATGGGTACCCAGGCGAGAACACCCCCCCCAGTTCACTCAGGTGTTTGCCCAAACCGATGCCCAGTGAGCCTGGGCCTCAGAAATCCATCACATAAACCTGGTGCTATCCTCCTGAAATTTTAATCTCACTCGATGTCTTTGGAGAAAAATTTTGATTAAAACACAACAAAATTCATTAAAATGAAAATTTGCGGTTCTGGTTGTGTCCTCGGCCCTTTGCTGTAACCCGTGGTAGGGACGTTTCAGAAGCACGTGCTGAACTTCAGCTCCAGCCAATGAGTCTTCCATTTATTCAAGAAAGTGCAGCGATGGCGCAGCGTGCGTGCGCCAACACTACCCCAGGAGCTTTGACTGAATACCATCTCTCTGGCTTAAAATCCTCTCTGGAGAGGTGTTGTATGGCCTCCAGAAAACACAGCCAAACAAATAAATGTTTTCTAGCTCCACCTCTTGAGAAGAACACAGGTTTCTAAAATAATCTTTTAAAAATAATTCTGCAATTTCCCATTGACTTTGCATTTTTCCACCATAAAAGCTGTGATTCTGTCCAAAAGTGTTGTCTTTTAAGCAGACACCTGTATCTCACTTGCTACAACAAATTAGATCTTCTTTTCCTTGTCCATCATTCCTCACAAAGTGTAGACGTTCTCTTCCAGAACAGCCTCGTCTTATCAGCGGTGGATCAAGTACTTCTGCGAGGCTGAAATGTTCCACGGCCCCCCTAGGTGGTGTCTTTAGTGAACTTTTTCTTTCTTTTCCTTCTGTTTGAGTAGAGCGATGGTTTTGTCCTTCATGTCGGGTTATTTTGACTTTGTTGTAGAGGCCCCCAGGTATACGACGGCCAGACAATAATGATGTGTGTCCCATCTGTCTGCTACCCAGATGTCCCGTTCCCGGGTGTGACGGCCAGGGCCACATAACCGGGAAGTACGCCTCCCACCGCAGCGCATCCGGGTGCCCCCTGGCCGCCAAGAGGCAGAAGGACGGGTACCTCAATGGCTCCCAGTTCTCCTGGAAGTCGGTCAAGACGGAGGGCATGTCGTGCCCCACGCCGGGCTGCGACGGGTCGGGGCATGTCAGCGGCAGTTTCCTCACGCACCGCAGGTGAGTGGCCCCTGTCTGCCTCCTGGCCCGGGCACTTCTGCTGGGAGCGGTCTGTCTCGCTGGTGTGACGTGAGCGCTCACAGCTCCTAATTCATCACCCATGGCGAGAAAGAAAAGACGGGAAACTGTGATATCAAACTAACGGCATGCTGAGGCGTGGGAAAAGAAGAAAAAACCTTAAATTTATTCTGAAAAGCACTAACTCGTTCCATCACATCTACACATCAGGACAGCGGTTTCTCAATGGATTTGATCAGGATCCACAATAAGAAACAGGTTTTCATTTTGCACACGCATATCTGTAGCTTTAGTTATTCGTTTTGACTGAATATTGCGGGCGGCCACCCTTGAGGAAAGAGGGTGGTATTTGACACAGGGGCCTCATGTTGAATGCCTGGGCCAAAGATAGATCAGGAAATTTCCAAAAGAGCCAGTCAACCCATTTATTTTTATTTGCCTAATTTAAAAAGAGATGCATGCGACTAGATTGTCTTAGAAGAAGAGGCCTGTTCTGTCTACTCACATGGCATGCGGCGGGCTCATCATAGAAGTGTTGGGATGGGTGGTGTAGACAAGTCACAGAGGTCAGTCGAGCCCTTTGGGCTTGGTGCCCCAGCTCTGTGGACACCAAGCTGGGGAGGACGCGAGGAGGAAGCTCACTGTCGCAGGTGCAGGGAAGATGCCATGCGCCTGGAGGGTTTACAGCTCCCCCTTTCCGCTTCTCTGCCGAGGTACTTGCTGCACAAACCACACACCGCATAACCTGCCTCCATCTGTAAAGCCATCCCCAACACAGAATGAACAAAAGTTGATACACGAACCACAGGAATGACGGTGTGTTCAGGAATATGTGACAATGAGCCTTAATGTTTTTTAAGAAATATATTTTTTTAATTATATGTAAAAGGAATTCCTGCTCAGGTAGGAAATCCAAAGGGAATAAACAGGCCTAAGGAAAAAAAGGATGTCCTTTCCCGGCCCTGGCCTCCCAGCTCACTTCCCGAGGCAGGCGGTCCCTGGGGCTCTGCTCAGAGAGAGCCCTTGAATAGAGACGCACACGGCCCTGCAGACGTGTCTGCGCCCAGGCACATGACTACCGCCAACCCCACCCGCACACCGTGGTTTTTTGTTCTTTATACAAATAGATCGCGATGTTTCTTAGGTATCTGCCCAGGACAAGGGCCTTTTCCCTGCACCTGTAAGTCCCCAGGCCTGGCCTGCGGTGGGCGTTGTCCTCACATGGGCAGATCTCCCAGCGCGGCTCCGAGCTGCCGTCTCCTGCCCCGCTAGTGTGTTCGCTAGCGCGCCGCCACGCGTCTCCGTTCTAGACGTGTGTGCCACCAGGAACTCTGCGACAGGCTCCCCGCCGCAGACGTCTGTGTGTTCCTGGGCAAGAGTGTCTTCAGGATTCAGGCCTAGAAGCAAAAACGCTAGTTTTTAAATTTTGACAGGCAGTGCCAAAATGCCCTCCAAAAGTTCCTGCTGTCTTAAATCTTTGGCTATCAGTACAATTTTTAAAACCCTGTCCATATGACGTGGGAATAAGGGTGTACATGCTTTGCAAATCTGACACAGAAACAAGTTCCATTTGTCTGATCAGACATAAGCACTTTAGCTTCCATAACTCTCGATCTCAGGAGACAGGCGTTTGCTGGGGAATCACTGGGTGTCCTGGGCTATGGAGCATCTGTGGAGCCCTGGGTCCCAGCCTTGGGCAGCGGGGCAGGAGGTCTCCCCTGGGACCATGCCCTGTTCCCTCCCCAAATGCCACTGGGCCCTCACCCAAGACCCCTGTCTGACACCGAGCTACAAATATCAAGGCGATCTTGTAAAGGCTACTCACAGCCTCTCTGGGTTTCTGGCCTCTTCCCTGTTTCTTTTCTCCAAAGGGCACATCACCGGGGTCTCAGGCAAGAAGAGGGCAGTTGGTCCAAATGGTTCCCTCGTCCTGACAGGCTGGACAGAATGCCAGCATGCAGGCCACATTCAGTGAGGACAGTCACAGCTGACAGACCAAGAGTCTCTCCCTCCCAGAATCCCCATCGACTCGCTCTACGGTCTGCAGACCAGTCACTCAGAGCGCTGTGGGCTTGCCCTCCCTCCTGTGGCGCCCCAGGGCTAGGCAGGCTCCCTTCCGGGGTCCCGGGCCCCTAGAGGAGCCACAGAGGTCCAGGGCGTGAGGGAATGACCGCACCCGCCCCAGGACCGCCCCACCAGCCATGCTGGGAAGGGCCTGAGGCCTTGGTCTCCGTGATTTCAACGTGACCTGGAGCTGGGAGGGCCACCACTCCAGTCTCGCGATGGAATCCCAGGTAGGGCCTACTTTCGGTTGGCAGAGCTCTGCAGAGGCTTTGATACTTTATTTCACTGGGAAAGCTAAGTCAGGACAGTCTGGCTTCTACTTTTAGTCCTCTCTGAGGAAGGAGAGGGGAATCGATGCTGTGTAGGCGAGTGTTCTGAACCCACTGGTGTCAGGTGACTAAGCCCATCTTCCGTAGGGTCTGAATATGTCTGTGCGTGAGGAAAAACAGGGCTGGGGCGCAGGGGTGAACGGAATGAGCAGGGCCATGAGCAGAGTGGACCTGCATTTTTCTCATTGTAGTCAAAAACATATACCATAAAATTTACCATCTTAACCATTCTTAAGTGTGCAGTCCAGTGGCATCAGCTACATTCACACTGTTGTGCAGCCATCACCACCATCCATCCAGAGAACTCTTCTCATCTTCCCAAACTCAAACTCTGTCCCCACTAAACACTGACTCCCCGCCCTCCCCCGCCCCCGGGAACCTCATCCGCCTTCTGTCTGCAGAAGGGATGACTTTCAGGGCCTCATGTGAGGGGAATCACACAGCATTCGTCGTCTGTGACGGCTCATTTCCCTCAGCACAGTGTCCTCAAGTCTCGTCCATGCTGTAGCCTCCGACAGGACTCCCTTCCTTTTTAAGGCTGAATAGTATCCCGTTGCATGTTGACCTGCAGTTTCTACCCGTGGAACAGGTTTTCACTTGTTTCATTGGGCAGACACGACATTGTTCCCTGAGGGTGTAAGAGCAGTGATCTGGGGCAGGAACAGCTCGGCGGGGTCTATACGGTCTCCCTTTCCTCGGCCCACCGCCCTGCCCTGCCATCCAGGGCTGACCAGCGGTTCTCCCAAACCTTCAGGCCCCGGTCAGGCACCTCAGGAAAGACATCACTGGTGCTGAGATGCAGGTTCCTGGAACGCCACGTGCTAGAAAACAAAGCGGCTTCAGAGTCAGAAGGAAGGACGAGACTGACACAGAAATTTCCTGTTTTATTTCTCTTTTTCCCCAAGTTGTGACAACCTAGTGAGATGATGAAGGATTGCCTTCTAACGGTGTCAATAAAAACAGTAGATGAAGCAGGAACTCACATCCGTGGCTCTCGGGTCCCACTGAACACGCTCACCCCACATCCTCTTCAAGGACGTCCAGAGCCCCCGTGAGCTCTGGGCCCCCACAGTCCCCGTCCGCTGTGAAGTCGCTTCCACCATTTCACAGTGAATCCTTCATACACGTGAGGTGGGGGGACTTCCTCCCAGCCTGTTTCCTCAGCAGAGCTGATGGAAAGCACATAGAAAATGTCCTATTTTATCTTTAGGATAGGCCAGGTCGTTCTAGAAAAGCAGTGTTTAAAATGAAGACTAAGTCTTTCAAAACCAGATGTTTTCTCATATAAATCAGAAAATGTTTCTATTGAGACATGCTACTGACACTCACATAATAAAAAATAATAAATTTCTTTTTTTTCTAATTATAGGCAGCACATTTTAAAAATACATGCCCTTCAGGATAAATCCATTTCTGCTATTTCTCGAATGTCTGAGGGTGACAGATTCTTCCCGCAGGGCTCGTCCCCATCACTAAGTGAAGGCCAGCTGTGAGCAGCACGCAGAGGCGGGGAGGCCCCAGCAGGGCTGAGCAGCCCGGACAGGGGGCCCTTCCAGGTGCCAAGGACCACGTCAGGCTCCCAGATGCACAGTCACATTGTTCTCGTCGCCATGAGGACGGAGCAATATTAATCATAGGAGCAGCTAAGTTGAGATTCTCAGGTCAGACACAAAAGGCCAGCCCTTCCCAAACGAGGCCAATGAGCAGAGGTGGATCAAGACGCCCAGGAGAGAGGAGCCAGGGAATTCCGCAACGACAGTTAGAAGTCGTTATAGAAAACACCGATTGTATCCCTGAGGAAGCTGCAGGACAGACGGCACAGCTCGGGGGCACACTCCTCAGGCCCTGTCCCAGCTCACACAAACCTAGGACAGGGCTCGGTACAGCTGGGGAAGCCAGCACAGCCACTGTGTGGTGCATGCAGCGCCTTCCCTTCCATTCCACAAGCATCCACGACGCACAACACCCGCCGTGGGAGGGCGAGTGAGACGCAGCCCTCAGCTTCCCCAGGCCCAGGACCTCACAGTAAAGACACATGCTTACAGGAGGACCCCGCACACAAGGCAGGTCAAATGGGATGAATGCTCAAATCAGGGACAGGATGTATGGGAAAGACAGATTTTAGACTCAGATAAATCAGACAGGGCATCTTAGGAAACTGAGACCCGTTAGGTATATTCCCAAAGAAATCTCAACCCATACCAACCCTCTGTCCCGAGTCCCTGACTGGTGGGTCAGCCCTCATTCCATGCAGCTCACAGTGATGGAGCCGCCTCCAACAGCATCCCCAATCCCCGTGTTAGGTTCTGGTTGACAGAGTTGGGTACCACAGCCTCTGCCCTTAAGAGAAGAGGGAGACTGTGGTCTAGAGGAGACTGTGGATAGAGAGGAACCAGCACGCGGCTCTAGGATGGAGCTCAGGAAGAGAGGAGGAACGTCCAGGGCAGACCCGGTTAAGCAGACAGGCTCTACCAGGAGGAAAACTTGGGCTGCGTTTTGGAGAAAGAATGCCCTTCACCACAGGGAGGAAAGTTGCACGAGGGTGCTTTGAATAAAGCACCGAGTCCATGTTTCACATGCACCATCCTG